GTGTTTACTGACATGAATAAACGAATTGTAATTTGAGTTCTTGAATTTATTTTAGGAAAGATATCAAATCATTTGAATACATTTTTTCTTAGTCGGAACGCACCGTCGCGTCGCTTGAACTGGCAGGACGGAACAGTAGACGAATTTCGCCCAAAAGCCCATTTGCACTTCACAGCTTACGTTTCATTTCTTATTATTTTCAAATAAAACTCTTGCAGTTTTTGAAGACTGGAGACTATGACATGGAACTTTGGAGGTGAGACAGTAGTAAATCACCAAGAAAAAACAATCTCAGAATTAAATTAACATTAGCAATATTATTAAGGAAAAAGCAAACTACATAATATGTAATAATCAGACTTAGGTAAAGAAAACTAAAGCAGTACTACATTTGACTCTTAAAAAATAAAATAAATAATGTCTTTTTATTTCCAATATTTTGAAAAAGAAACAGACAATAAAACAAAAATAACATCGAACGTTACTTTAGACGGAAAACTAGTTTAATTTGAGGATTTCTATTGCACAAGTACTTAAACTCGGTTTAAAATTTTGGAAACTGTGTTAAAGGATCAGTTATTGGAGGGTGATATTTCCAACGTTGAAATGGACATTTAATCCAAAAAATTATACAGGGTGGCGCATCGAAAACGAAACAGACGCATTTACTGGCTGCTCAGTTTTTTTTGGACAAACGCTCAGACACGTCGATTTTGTTTTCTAGGGAGACACCAGTTTGGCAAAAAATCACGTTAGCACGTGCAGCCCTCTAGGCGGGGATGACACCACCCCCAAAATCTTAAATGGAAAGGGGAGTCGAGTGATACCTTATTTTAAAGGTCTTTCAATTCCCTTTATAGTGATATCAAATTAATGTACTTCAGTTCAGTAGTGTTGAATATTTATTGATTTAAAGCTTAAGTAAAACTAATACATCATTATTAGTGGAGATCAATACATTTGGCAGCAAAGTAATTTAAAAATGAAGAATGAAGTTAGGCAAGTAAATGTTGAAAATGGCCAACATTCGTCGGAAAAGCAAGTGTTGAATAGAAAATGTTCATCGTTTATAATTCGTTCACTCATATCTTCATAAAATTGTAATCGCCGATCAAAATCGTCTTCATTAAGTTCTTGTACCAGGTGAATTTTATACGGATGAAAACTATGAGCCTTTAGAATCCGTTGGACAGTAAGTCGACTAACACCACACACAGTCTCCAATTTGCGGGTACTTAACGTAGGATCTACATAAACTTGCCCTAAAACCCCCACTTCTATTGCTTCGTTCCTTATGGGATTTTCAATGTAACTATTTCTGCTGTTCTATTAGCGCACTGATTATATCCGAAAAATATTTCGATAATTTCAACTCTTTCTGCTGTGGAATATGCCATGCTTAATTAATGTAATAAAGCATTACGAGTTATTTTAGCAACAAAGTTTGGTCAAATCAATAGCAAAGTATGTACTAAATTCCTATTTAAAATAAGTACGAGATATTTCCTTATCTTTCTTCAAGAAATAACTTTTTTGCCGCAAAAAAACGCTCCAATAGCTATTTTCAACAACAAAATGATAAACAAACCATGGGCGTAGTGAAGAAAAGCATTTACTTATTAAGTTTAGTCAAATTTTTTCTGGAAGTACAAAGTACAAACTAATCTGATGTACCTAAAGTCTACTTTAAACTTTAAACCAATAGACCTTCAAAACTACTGACCTGAACTACATTAATTTTATATCATTATAAAGGGAATTGAAAGACCTTTAAAATAAGGTATCACTCGACCCCCCTTTCCATTTAAGATTTTACGGTTGGTGTCACCCCCGCCCAGGGGGCTGCACGTGTTAACTTGATTTTTTGCCAAACTTGTGTCCCCCTCGACGGTTCTGAAATCTTTCCAAAAAAAAAAAACTGAGCTGCCAGTAAATGCGTCTGTTTCGTTTTCGATGCGCCACCCTGTACATTTATTTCAATATTACATTTTCAGTTGGAAAAGCAGATTTTCTCGGGTCCAGTCACGATCAATCAAACGTCAAACTTTGGCAGAACTAAATAAGGATTATTGATGCAGATCTCCGCAAGACTCTAAGCCCAGGCTTTCCTTATCTTATAATTCTCTGTATAATTCAGGGTATAGTCACAAATAAAAGAAACGATCATGCGGAGAAAGGCGTATAATACGTAGAAAAAAATAGTGGACTTTTCTGCAAACAGAACTATAGGAAACCCGAGCAATACGTGTTTCTGCTTGTTGGATTCATCAGGGTCGAAATGGATGCACATATGAAACTATGGAATAAGACACGCCTGCCCATACATCCGGGTACGGGTATAACCTGAGGAGTCACCAACAAGAGCCAACCTACACATTGCGGTATAATCTGGATCAATTTGAATCAGGGTATAGTGTATCAAATCACCTTAGATAAATCTTCGGATTGAGAGGTCACCCCTAGGGACACCCAACCTCAAAAACGAGATATTTTTGAGAATAATCTTTCACGGAACCAATTTTGTTAAAAAGATGTGAAAGAACTACTAATGAGTTATTATTTCAACCTATATAACAATGAGTTTTTATACATTTGTGGGACGTATTGGCTCCAGATTTGTTTTTTTTTTTGTAATCCTTTCTCAAATATTTGGCTTTGAAATTAAAATTTTCACCGATTTTTCCAGTTCTAGCTACTTTAAGAGTATGATATAATAATCATATGCATATGTGTACGTTTTTGATACAGCTTACATTTTCACAATTTCCTGGGCCACGAATCACAATTTTGACAATGTATGCACAAAAGTACATATACTCATTGGATTTTTGAGTCAGACAAAGTATAGTAATCTCCTCTATACATATATTTCTTTTAATTCCAGGAAAAGCGGTAAAAAGCGAGTTTCGGCATTTTGGCGATTTTCCGGAAGGGCAATCATGATTTTGACACCGGAAATGGAAAGAAAATAATTTTTGATGGAACCAATTTTGTTAAAAAGATGTGAAAGAACTACTATATAAAAATGAGCTTTTATACATTTGTGGGACGTATTGGCTCCAGATTTGTTTTCTTTTTGTAATCCTTTCTCGAATATTTGGCTTGGAAATTAAAATTTTCACCGATTTTTCCTGTTCTAGCTACTTTAAAAGTATGATATGATAATCATACGCATATGGGTACGTTTTTGATAGAGCTGACATTTTCACAATTTCCTGGGCCACGAATCACAATTTTGACAATGTATGCACAAAAGCACATATACTCATTGGATTTTTGAGTCAGCCAAAGTATAGTAATCCCCTCTATACATGTATTTTTTTAATTCCAGAAAAAGCGGTGAAGATGCGAGTTTCCGCATTTTGGCGATTTTCCGGAAGGAAAATCATGATTTTGACACCGGAACTGGAAAGAAAGAACGCAGAAAATGCACCCATATAGTAGGTTATTGTGTCATCCAACTATTCCCTGGCCAGAAGCGTCAAGAATTAAAGAAAATCAGCGAAACAATTTTTCAGGAGACATATCAGAATACATATATATGTAGGGTTTTTGAGTTAGGAAAGTTATGATATCCTATTATAATGTCTAGAATTGAAAAAATCTGTAAAAAGGGGCCCCAGGGCCGAGGTAACGATTTGAAAATTCGGCTAAGGTCTTGTGCCTCAATTTGGATTGATCCTGACTTGAACTTCTTGGGGGGAAATTTTCATGCGAAGTTCCACCTTTACCCTTCCTTCACGTTTTTGCTGCTGTTCTATCCCTCCTTAGCTTTATTATTTCAAACCTAGTTGTTCCTGGAAGGGATAGCTCCAAATTTCAGGACACCGTGTACTTTCTGGTTTTATTATTTTCATGGGGACTGAAATGTAACGTCTGAAGGTAGAAACGAAATGACTGAGTTGAGTCAAGCTACAGTCGATGCAAGCTTGTCGAAGTTATTTAAGATGAACTTCTTAATTCTTTTTTTGAAACTATACTTCGAGAGGATCTTATATTCTATGGGTAATTTATTATACAACCTAATACCAACAAACTTTATGCATTTTTGGCAAACAGATTTATTCACTCTGATATAAGTGTTATTTATATTTATTTTAGTTCTTGTTTCATAAACGTGGCTGGTTGGAACATTGTTTCTGGAGTGAACAAATTTCAGAGCAGCAAAAATATGTAAACCTCTAACATTCAAAAGATCAATATAAATAAATCTGCAACTTGACCTACATGGGATACGAAAAATAGTCCTGACAATATAATTTTGCGTGGTTTGTAGTATTTTTAAGGTACTAGTGTATGCGGCTCCCCAAAAACTTATGAATAATTCTCCTTAATTTCGATGCCAAAAGCTCGGTATGACTCTGCCATTTTAAATTACTGTCAACAGTGATTCCTAAGTATCTAATAACTTCAAATCATTCGACAGTATCAGCAGTATCATTTATAATTAATGTTCGGTGATGTAATGACATGCCTGCTTTGGTTGTAGAAAACGTTACATACTTAGTTTTAGAGATATTAAGTTTAAGTAAATTGTTATCCAACCAGCATTTGACTTTATTTAATGACAACTCGGCATTGCAAACTAAAACAGTATCGTCTGCATATGATATCATTTTACACTTGAAATTGCATCGAAGTAGTTCATTTATGTATATGAAGAACAGTGTTGGTCCCAAAACCGTCCCTTGAGCCACACCTATTTTGATATTTTGAATGCTGCTTGAATCTGAGCCTACCTTAACTTGCTGTAATCGATCAGCCAAATAAGTTCAGAACTCCACTGCACACTCCAACACTTTCTAGTTTCTTTAATAAAATTGTATGAGATACTGAATCGAAAGCCTTTTGAAGATCTAGGAAAACTGCAACAGTCTTATTTCCATCTTGAAAATTTTCAAGCACTTGTCCTGTAAGTTCTTGTAGAGATTGCTCTGTATTGCAATTTTTGCGGAACCCAAATTGACACTTCGATATTATGTCATAGGTCTCAAGAAAGGAACAAAGTCTGTTATTCAAATGCTTCTCAAAAATCTTCCCAAATACATTGATAACTGAAATAGGTCTATAATTGAACATATTGTCTTTACTTCCAGATTTACATATTTGTGTCACTATGCTTTCTTTAAGTTGGCCAGGAATTACTGAGGATTTGAAACAGAGGTTGATAATGTGAGTTATAGGGTGACTGATATACTTCATGATATTCTAGATTGTTTTAGTGTGTAAGCCATCTTTTCCGGGTGCGCTATTATTTTTCAGAATACAAACTATTTGCTGTAACTCTATGTTATCCACTGGAGTTAGAAACATAGAGTAAGCAATGTTGACGACATGAAGATCTGATATATCAAGAATTGAGTTTTGATCAATCTGACTTGTATTTGAATATGTTACCCTGAACACTGCACAATTGAAGCATCGGCGTAGAGCGTAAATGGCAACACTGCCCCAGTACTGCTAACATAGTGGCAAGACTGGACTTGCGAGTCGAGTCACAGTCGTACACGTCACCAAATCACGTACAGATCCTATGTCAAACCGTTGCATAGAATAAGTTTGTTCCACAACCCCATTACAATACCTATTGTTTGTGAAAAACTGTTTAATGTTCTCGAAGAAACAAGCAACACGTGCCAGCCATATGAAAAATGGATCGTGTGTAGGGATATAAATAGTAGAGACGGAACCATCAAAAGTCGGTATTGTTTCGTATTATCCAAAAAATGCAGCTGTAAGGCAGGATGAGACTGTAATTAATAAGTTTCTTCTTTGTTTCATATGATAATAAATCATCTGAGAATTGAGGTTCATGTCAGGCACGTGCTCGTTTAGGACCATAGTCTGCATCAGCGCAATATATCATACAAGAACTTTTCCTAATGGCCCAAGCTGAGTCAGTGTTGTCAACACTGTTTTGGAACATTTCGACGTATACCGTACTTCTTATACTGTACTAACGTGCTAAGTGCAAAGGCGATGTCTGAACCCAGCATGAAATCCAGAAAAAGGCCTTCAAAGTTTAAACATCATTTGTCAGATACGTTAAACAAAAATGCATGATTCGACTCAAACTATTGTAAGTTATGGCCAAAAAGCTTTGATCAAGCGTTGAGAAAATGATATTGATTTAAAGTATCAATAGCCGAATACCAGAATATTGCAGATAACGGCACTGCAGCACATCACAAAGGGACGATTAGGGCCACATGCCAAGTTACTTAGGTTTGAATTTCTCACACTGTGAAAAAGTTTGCTTAGTTTAAGCATAAAATACTTGCGCATCTCTGCTTAAGAGCAATGATTAAAACATCTTGAAAGGTATATTACGCATGGTGATAACACAAATACCAAATGCTCTATTAAATCGAATGCCTTGCCAATGTTCTCTGGACACGCCGATCCATGATGGTGCCATACCGTAACGTTACCAGAATGACCTGGTAAAACAAGTCAATTTGATCGTTCAAGATTTTGTGAAGAAAACATAAATCAGATAATACCCTTCTCTTGGTCAGAGGTAAGATTTCCAAATGCTCCATTACCAAGCTATAATCGTGCTTAAGGACAATTATAGTGGCCTTATAAGACATAATTCGTAACAACTTATGTTGGACAGACTCAGTTCTCCTTATGTGGATTTCGTAAATAATGGACGCGAAACGGATAATACTATGCACAAGCGCATAATATAGGCATAACAGGGTTGTTGAGGTATCTAGAATGTCTTCTAATAAAATCAAGCATCTAATTCGTTTTATCTATAGTTCCGTCAATATGGCTGTTAAAGCTAGATTTCGTATCTAGTCCCATATTGCCCACGAAATTTATTTTGACATTCTCTCTTTGATGCGCATACTGGAATAGATTCGTTTTTTTCGTGAATGTGATTGAAAAGCATTTTTTTGTGTTAAGTGCTAGGTCATTTCTCTGACAATAATTGTTGTATTTGTCGATATCAGATTGTATTTTGTTGCAGTTTTGAAGGCTTTCAACTATACGATACATCCTTAAGTCATCGGTGTGAAGAAAAAACTTGCAACGGCTAAAACATTGTGCGATACCATCTATATAGATTAACAAGAATAATGGACCTAAGTGGCTACCCTGAGGAAATCCCAATGATGGGATAACGACTCTGGACTTATATCCATTTATACATACGAGGAATCCATCTATATAAGATGAAAACCACATTACAAAAGAGCTACGAACATCAACCTCAGCAAGCTTTGTCAATAGCAAATTATGATTAACTCAAAAGTCTTGCTGAAGTCGGCATAAATAGCATGGACTTGAAAACGTCTGGGAACGAAGTCAGAAAAATAAAGCAAATCGGTATCCAAGCACCTTTTCGGAAAAAATCCATGCTATTACTGAATGATTACAGTTTTAAAAGTATTTCGTTATAAATCAGCTTTTCGAAGAATACGCACCACTTACTAATAGCCCTGTAATTGCCTGCCATGTACCTGTCTTCATTTTCAAAAATAGATGAAACGGAGGATTTTTCCAAGCATCGGAGAATGTATTAAATCCTAAAGAGGTATTGTAAATTAAGGTAAGATGTTTGTATAAACACATTTTACATTTTTTGATGAATGTAGGTGGTATCTTGTCAATGCCAGCATGTTTATTTGTTATCTAAAGTGACAATAATTTCAAGGACTTTTCACGGATTGTTTTTAAACCTATGAGTATGCCTTAGACCAGAGGACTGTCGGAAACACTATTTGTAGAAACAACGCTACTGAAGTACTCGGAAGACAAATTACAGATTTCTATTGGCTCATTAGTATCTGAATTTTTATTATTTGCTTCGAAAATTTCTTTGGAACCGCTTGAATTTCATCTTCTACATTTGTTGCATAACTGTGAAAGTCTTTAGCTGTCAACTGTTTAGATTTTCTCCTCAATGCTGAATATTCAGCATAATCTCCTAAGTTATTATACTAAGTGACATATAAATCCGAACACCCAGTTTAAATGGTTTTATTTTAATAAAATTTTGTACAAGTACTTAATGGAGCATAATAAGTAAATGATAAAAATTTCAAAATGATTGCACTGCTTTAAAGCCCTTTGACGTTTAATAATATGCGGATGCACCCTGATGTGCTACGCATTCTCCAACGCGCCTAGGCATGCTTCTGATCAGGTGGTCAATGTCCTCCTGTTGTATCTCATTCCAGGCAACCACCAACTCCTCTCGAAGTGCTTCTAGAGTCTGAGGAGGACGTTGCAAATTGAGCAATCTCCTAGCCATCATATCCCACACGTGCTCAATTGGGGATAAGTCGGGAGATCTTGGTGGCCATGGTAACAATGTGACATCGTTATGTTGAAAGAAGTCTATTGTGACTCTTGCAACATGTGGTCGGGGATTATCTTGTTGGAAAGTTGGATCTGCCAGGGTGTCAAGATAGGGTAAAAGATGGGGTTCTAGAACTTCGTGGATATAACGCATAAGCTATAGCACCCCAAAACATAACTTCAACAGTGTGATGAACATGTCTTTCAACAAAAAACTGTGGATTCCTCCTTTCACCACGTCGCCTTCTAACCCTGGCATGACCATCGTGCATGCCTAAGCAAAATCGAGACTCGTCACTAAAGACAATACTGTTCCATTCCTGATCCCAGAGTGACCGTTGTCTGCACCACTCAAGGCGATTACGTCGGTGTTCTCGAGTTAAAGGGAGGACCCAGTGTGGCCGGTATGAAAACAAGCCAAAACTTCTCATTCGTCGGTAAACACTTCGCATGCCAATAGGTCTTCCGTGTTCTGCAAACCATTCATTTGCAATGGACCTGGTAGTGGAGAAACGGTCCCTTAAGGCCAATAATCTTAGGCGGCGATCTTCACGGTCTGTTGTTCTACGGCGGCGTCCAGTGCCCCTTGCTCTTTGCGTACGGCCTTCTCGAAGCCATGCCTGACAACACCTAACCACACTGTCTACACTTCTTTGCACTCTAACTGCAATTGCCCGAAAAGAAAGTCCAGCTTCCCGAAGTCCCACTATACGGCCCCTATCAAACTCACTAAGTTGACGAAATCGTACAGGTCTCCGTACTCTAGGCATCGTAACCGATCGTAAAGGATGTCAAGAACCAAAATCCGCCATCGTTGATTCTTTACTGCGGCTGAAATATTCATTTTTAGAGCGTTAGTGAATTAAAAAAAAGCAGTATAAAAACCGGAATGTCCAACTGATAAGGCTGAACATTTTTTCACTTGTTATTTACGCTAAGATAAATACATTCACCAACTTTTATTAGAATAAAACCATTTAAACTGGGTGTTCGGATTTATATGTCACTTAGTATATACAATTTGACTTCCTTGTGACATGGTTTCTTCCTCTCTATAGTGTCTTGCTTAAAGAAGGCTGTACTATAACTGTTCAGGGGTATTCAAACATCCAACCTGCATACTCTCTAATAAAGCCTCGCTTGGAATACATGGTGATGCTGCCTTAATCCATGGAAAACCGAACCTTCTATTATAGTATAATAATATCCCGTCATGCCTCGTAGTGTGCCAGAGTTTCAGACAATGCTACCGAGGTGATTTGTCTCCCGATTGGAATGTAAGAAATTTGAAATTTTACAAAACTTGGAGGGTCACAACACCGATAATCCCCTTAGTTCCGCTCCTGTATTCAAAATGAACCCGACTCGAACTCTCCGGTCTTTCAGCGCATTTGTATTCGTTCTCATAGCCATAATTATCGCGATTTTCTTTTACGACTCTGCATTAGAATGCATCATTTTCATCTCTGGGGAGACGTCCATATTCGCTCTGGTTCTTTTTTCTTTTAAATAGATTAGTCGACGGGGCCGTAACAGTTATCGCAACACTTTATCGTCCATTTCTTATCGGAAGTTCTTGGACGACTACAATTTGTTTTATTATTAGTAATGTTTATTCAAACACAACACAAAGGGTGGTATAAAAGTTTTTCAATATGACTGAACAAACGGACGCAGGAGGCTGAATGTTACTGCATGTTGAGACACAGTATAACTTCAAGCGGAAGTCTCCAAGATGGTATAATTCGTCAATAATTAAGAACATAAAAGATAAGGCAAAAGACCATCGTAAATGGAAACAAACTAAAAACAATTTTTAAAGGTTGCGAACGAAAGCTATTTGCAAGAAGTTGAAGAGTCGGTGAGAAATAACCCCGCTTCTTTTTGGTCATTTATATATTAAAAGAACAAAACATCACGGATTCCATGTCGTATGACTCATCTGAATAATGACTTCGGTGATCCTCAGTGAATTGTAAATGCTTCCGCTTCCGCTTCTAACATCCAATGTAATGTCAACTTCACTCAGGAGAGTATAACAGAAAATGCAATATGTGATGCAGCAAAAAAATTTAAGTCCAAGATGACCTCAAGGCCAGGTAAGCTGCCCTCTTTCCTGGTCAAGGATTGTGCGCTTATTGTTTTTTAAGC